AAAAATATGTAAGTTTAAAAATCAAAAATTTTTTTTCCAATTAAAAGCAAGGAATGAAAAATCTACCAAATAAAATCAATAAACTGATAATTAGAAAGAGTTTAATGTATGGAATTTGAAAAAAAAAAGTTTGAAAATCAAGTAGAGTCAATTTTTAATTGGAGAGTAATTTTAAAAATAATCGCTATGTCACGTTTTAATATGCTTAAACAATAATTATTAAAAATTCATAAATTTACCAAAGAAACTAGATAAAATAACAAATACTTATATTTATCGCACACAATATATATGTAAATATATTTATATATTCTTAGACTATTTAACTGTTTAAAATCGACTAAATTTTTAATATTTATTTATGATTTAAATTTATTTATTGCTTTTGAACTTCCAATTTAAGCCGACAACCTAATATTACTTCCTTTCGATGAATGAGGACTATCCGATATCTGATTAATATTTTTAGATAAATTCAAGTAATTATACTGTGACATCCTATTTTTCATATGGTATTTGGAGCAGATACACACCATTAGGTAGAAACAATCAAGTTGGAAAAATAGGACTATTTGACAGTTCATGTTTTCATCTTCACAATGTGATTGGACAATCTTCGAGATTATTAAATTTGTTATTGTTTGATTGTCTTGAATATCCAAAGAAAACAATAAAAAGAAAATATTTTTTAAAGCTTCAAATGACTAGTGGTATGATTTTGAAGTAATTCTAAACGATTTCTAATATGAATTTTTTTGGCATTATTTTGAAATAACATCATGGCCATAAGAGTAGAAACTTTAATTAATTTTTATTTAATACCCAAAAACAACATTAAAACAAATTAATAGACGTGAATTTTCCATACAGTGATTTAGATTTATTATTAACTTTTGGAGGTGGTCTTTATATAGATAAATATTAAAATATCCCTAAAATTAAAGAGGGATCAAAATTTTCTTTTTTCCCAGGAAAGATATATCAATGTCCTTTAGAAAGTGGAGAAAACAAACAAAAGGATGATTAATTATATGTAGTTAAAGATTTTAAACCACTTAGTAAATGCATCTGTACTTTAAATATGATAAGAGATATACCTGATAAAGATTTAGAATTTTTATAATCATAAATATTTACATCCTAAAATACTAATTGTAATAATTTTGCTTTATAATCATGGATTAAGATAATAAATATCAAAGGGGATTCTCAAGAATTTACATATAAATTAAGATAACTATCGGCTGTCTTTAGTAATTCAAAATTGATAAATTAAAATTTAGTAGCATTTTAATTATATTATTTGTTTTCACCAAAAGGTAATAAAATTCTCATAACTACATACAGTTATACATTCCTTTTGATAAATATTGATTTTTCTGATAATCCATTTCTCATTCAAAAAGAAATAGACATTTTGAATGATATTAAATTATGGCATTATATTTCATTAGATGTAATAGATAATGAATTATAATTTTATGTAACATTCTAAGAAGATCTGATGGATTATCATTATGAGAGTTTTTAATTTGTGAATCATTTTCATATGGTAAAATATTAATTAGAATATGAAAATATTTAGAAATAAGGGACAAATTATCTTAATTGTTAGTTTAGAAATATGAATTTTGATAATTGTCCTGAATTTATAGATTCTTTTTCAATTTGTCACTTTAGTTGTGAAAGATGTGATGGTCCTACTAGTTCAAATTGTTTGGCTTGTTTAGAAACTTCAAATAGAATTTATATACCTGAACATAAATCTTGTATATGTCCATATGATACGATTGATAATTATAAATGCAAAAGTTATAAAGAATTGGGCCTATTACTTAATTATGATGATGAACCATTAAACAAATGTTAATTTGGTTATTTTGAGCTTGAAAATGAATGCATGTTATGGTATTATTAATTTAAATTTTAGTCCATCAATAATATAGGAAAATTTTATTACATGTTTAGATTGTATATACAATCCAGATTCATGGAAGAAAAAACCTTTTTGTTAAATTAATTTATATTCATAAGAGAGTTAAATATCAATTTAAATAAAGGGAGATAAATAATACTTTATTTCAGATGGTAATGATATGGCTTTTTGTTTATTGTGTGAAGGTGATGAAAATAGTTAATATATTGATTATTAATTTCATATCCAAGAATTCTAATATTTTTGTCTAACCACTGAAGATGATGAATTACCAATTAAATAAAAAAAGAGATGCTATAAATGTGATTTAGAGTTTTGTTTAGTCTATTAAATTACTCTTTTGAATTTTGAATGTGTTATCTGTCTGGAACCATCTACATTAATAAATGGTAGATGTGAATTGTTTTATCCAAGTTCTAATAATTGTGTTAAACATTATTATAAGGATTCACTACAGAATTTTAAATTATGTGATATTGAATTTTGTAAATATTGTTTTGAATATTCAAGCAATGATTCAAGTAAAAGCACGCTTTATTACAATTATATTGAATTTATCAAGGATGAATTTCATAAAATCGGTTGTGCTTTATGTGAAAATGGATTTAGGTTTGATTTTAATAAAGGCAAATGTTTATACAATAAACCATCTACTTAGAATTGTATTAGATCTTATATAAGCTAAGATAATATTGAAGTTTATACATTATCTTAAATTGAAGATTTTACTATAGCTCCTGAAATTAGCAATTGTTTAAATTTTATCGAAAATTGCAAATAATGTATTTAAAATCCATAGAAAGAAATTAAATGTGTTTTGTGTGAAGATGGTTATACTGCTTCAATATAAACAGGATTGTGTTATTAATGCTCAATAACAAATGTGAAAAATTGTATAGAAGGCTAAGCATATTTAGAAGATT